AGTTTAGAGTTCCGGCGAAATGGCTACATACGAATCTGGCGCTGCCTGTCAACGATCCTCAAGCCCTTCTGTTTCAGACCTAGAGGAATTTTCCTGCCCAAATCGAAGGACATAAGCCGACGCGGCTGTGGTAGAGAAGCCGGTCGGAGTGATCCATCGTCTCTGCTAGCAAGTCGGAGCCAGAGATCGCGTTGTAGCCGCGGCCGCTGACGGAACCGCCGTGGATGTAGGGGGCGGGGCTAGATGACGGAAAGAAGGTGAAGATGACGGTACAGCAATGCCGGCGATGAGAAAAACGAGACGCTACTCGCGGAGCATATACCGAACTGGGCGAATCACATTCAGCCATGGCTTCGGAGGCTTCAGCGTATAACCGTCCATCACCGGCTGCGCCTCTTGTCCTCTGTAGATCAACTCCGAACTCATAACTTAACAACTAGCAATGTTTGCAAATTCTGGATCTTGCAGAGGGAGGAGGGGCGGTGGTTGAGGGTGGCGTTTCGGCGACCTACTGGTCATACGTTCGCCGGAAAGTCACCGGAGCTCCGCCAGTGTATTATTGACCTGCTATTACAGGTCACTATTAGGTGTTTGGGCCTTGATGCACTGAATTCATATGTTAATGTGTCTAATTGCACATTCCAAAAGTTTAAGGGCCTAATTGACTTCTTATCTAAACTTGGAGGGTGTATTTGACCCTTTTCCCTACACTAAAATACAATTAGGCAATTGAATTGAAAAAACATGTAATTGAGTCCCTAAACTAACCAATTTCATGTCATTAGTCCAATTTGCAGGTTTTTTAGGCTTCTAATAGATCAAACAAAACTTAAAATATTTTTTTAAAATAATTATTTAACTTTAAAAAAAAAAAAAAGGTTGCCGCCGGAGATGAAGTTTGCCGGTGACCGGCCATGAATTTTGTTGGAGAGCAGTTGCCGGTGACCTATCTTCATGGCGAGCAAGCAGATCACCGGCAACGTGGGTCTTCTCCGGCGAGCTGTGGCTGAGCAGTGACGACCTTCAGCCTTTCCTATCTTTTTCCCGGCAACTCTGACCATCAGATCGATGACAGCAGTCTCCGGCGATCCTTGTTCTACCCGGCGAACAGAGCAGGTCTAACGAGAGGTTACAGCTCCGTCGACTCCTCTCCCCTTCCATCTGATGGTCTGCATTGTCGGGAAAAAGAGAGGAGAGGCTGAAGGTCGTCGCTGCTTGGCCGCCGAATACACAGCTCGCCGGAGAAGACCCTCGTTGCCGCCAATCTGCTTGCTCGTCATGAAGATAGGTCGCGGGCAGCTGCTCTCCAACAAAATTCATGGTCGGATACGAAGAAACTTCTTCGTCTTCGGCATCGACGTTTCTTTTTTTAAAAAAAAATTAAATAATTATTTTTAAAAAAATATTTTAAATTTTGAGTGACTTGTTGGAAACTTCAAAAACCTGCAAATTGAATTAATTGCATGAAATTGGTTACTTTGGGGACTCAATTGCATGTTTTTTGAGTTCAATGACCTAATTGAAGGGAAATTCTATTTGCACCACCCATTTTGCTATTTACACCCCCTATTTAATAGGTGTAATAACTTTATAGGTGGTGCAAATAAAAAAATGTTACTTGCACCACCTCATTAAATGTAGTCAAACATTAATCTTTATTTTTTTATTTTTATTTAATAATCAATCTCTTTATTATTATTATTATTATTATTATTATTATTATTATTGTTGTTGTTGTTGTTGTTGTTGTTGTTGTTGTTATTATTATTATTATTATTATTATTATTATTATGTTTTAATGTCTAATTATTTTGTGTAATATTTTTTAAAGTTTTTATTTTCAATACATATTTTTTTTTAAGTTTCTTTTTTCAATACATCTTTTTTTGTTCAATACATGTTTTTTTAAGTTTATATTTTCAATACTTATTTTTGTTTATGTTTTAATTGTAAATAAAGAGAAATAATAATTAATTTTGTTATTCTAATATTTTTTATAACTCAAATTTGTTGTATACATTATTTTAAATTGATTTAACTATAAATTGAAATATAAAATGATTACTAGTGATATTTGAAATGAATAAATATAAATTGATTTTCTACTTATCTTTTTATACTGTAAATACCGTAACAATTTTATAAAGATATATGTGGGTTATAGTTCTAACAATTTTGATGTAGTTAAAATTCTATAAAGATATGTGGGTTAGAGTTCTATTGAGACTTTGAAATATAAATTGATTTTCTAATTATCTTTTTATACTGTAAATACTGTAACAATTTATAAAGATATGTGGATTAGAGTTCTAACAATTTTGAGGTAGTTAAAATTCTAATCATAAAATAAGTGGAGGTCAAGGCTTCTAATCATAAAATAAGTCTACTGCATCCGTTCCTACCCTCTTTCTATTTTGATCGAATTTTGTATTTATGGTTGTCCTTCCGTCTCTGTAGAATAGTTTCCTAAAATTGTGTATTCTGTGTAGTATATATTGCTCTATATATTGAAATGGATCAAAGAGATTGTTATTTAGTCAATTGAGAAATTATATCTAATTTAAATGAATCCTAATTACCTAGCAAGCAAGAACAAAGTGGCTTAAAATACAAATAGTAACACCCACAGAAATAAATAACAATTCAATTCTGTCTATTTGTTTATACTCTAAATACAATAAATTGCTTAATTTACAACTATATTCACAACAAATTAAATTAATTTACAACTATATTCACTAAATTGATTAATACTATAATTTTCTCTCTTCACATGGAACAAAGAGATTGTTATTTAGTCAATTGAGAAATTATATCTAATTTAGGGTCTGTTTGGAAACCCGGAAAATGCCTTCTGAAAAATGAGTCATTTTCCTTTTATGTGTTTGGTTGCACAATGGAAAACTGTCTTTTGGTGTTTGGTTCATTTTCCAGAAAATGATGAAAAACTGTCTTTTGGTGTTTGGTTCATTTTCCAGAAAATGAACAGAATGGCATACTTAAACATTTCTATCCATCTATACAATCAAAATAATATGACAAAAAATAACAACAATTAAAACTAACACAAATTAAGCAAAGCATTTTATTATATAATCAGTAAAAAAAAAAATATCAGCAACAAGTTCACTGGTTTGGCATAAAAATTCAAAAAAAAAAAAATTGCGATGCGAAACCAGTTCACTGGTTTCCAATCGGAAACCAGTGCAGTCACTAGTTTCCAATGCCAGTGACTGCACTGGTTTCCGATTGGAAACCAGTGACTGGTTTTCCGCATCGGAAACCAGATCTGGTTTCCGATGCGGAAAACCAGACTCACTGGTTTCCCCAGCCGGAAACCAGTTTGGTTTCCAGCCAGGGAAACCAGTGAAGAAGCCATAATATTTGGAAAAAAAAAATCAAAAAGGAAAAATGATATACCTTGTAGCTTTTCTATTGTTGGTGAAGCTTTTGTGGTTGTGGATTGTTGGAGGAGATGTGTTGGTAATTCTCTGTTGAATGTTGAAGGAGGAGGTGAAGTGGGAGAAGAAGCAGTGAAGGGAGAAGAATGCTTGAGTGTGTTTGCGTGTGTTGATTGAAAGATGGAAAATGACTTCCGCCAAAAAAAAGGGGAAGTCATTTTCCGGATTTTAGTCCTCAATTTCCATTGACTAGCTAGCATTTTTCTTTGACCATTTCATTTTCAGCCTTCCCAAATACCAAAAACCCGGAAAATGATTTCCAAAAGTCATTTTCCGGGTTTCCAAACAGACCCTTAAATGAATCCTAATTACCTAGCAAGCAAGAACAAACTGGCTTAAAATACAAATAGCAACACTCATATAAATAAATAACAATTCATTAACAATTCAAATTCAAATAACAACTTAAAATACCTCATAATGTCCTTGACTTTGATTTTGGTCATTGTAACTAAGTAACTGGCTTTGATTCTGATTATTGTAACTAAAACAATCTTCTATCCAATCATTCATGGCTTATAGATTGTGTGATACATATACATAACACACACCCCACATATATAGAGAGTCATATGAGTCCAATTTGTATTCTCTGCCGCCCAAATTATCAGTAATTTCATCTCACAAACATCAATATTGACTAATTGTTTAAAAAAATATGTATTGAAATTATAAACTTAAAAATATGTATTGAAATTAGAAACTTAAAAAAAATGTATTAAAATTAGTAACTTAAAAAAAATATGTATTGAACAAAAAATATATATATTGAACAAAAAAAATGTATTGAAAATAGAAACTTAAAAAAAATATTTATTGAAACTTTAAAAAATATTGCATAAATAATTAGGCATTAAAACAAAAAAAAAAAAACAAAAAACAAAAAACAAAAAACAAAAAACAAAAGCAAAAAAGTGACTGGGTTCATCTTTTTTTAAAAAAAAAAAAAAATAAAATTAATATTTTAATTAATTAGGTTTTGAATTAAAATATTATTAATTATACCTCATAAATGAGGTTTGGTCAAGATGGTGTAAATAGCAAAGGGAAATTCTATTTACACCACCTATTTTGCTATTTGCACCACCTATATAGTAAGTCAAATAGCTTTATAGGTGGTATAAATGCAAATTTACTATTTACACCACCAGCATTAAATATGGTCAAAGATTATTATTTGTTTTTCATTTTTTTTAAATTATTAAAAAAAAAAACACCAACCTCCCGGAGAAGGCAACCCGGTGGGTTGTTTAAAAAAAAAAAAAAATAAAATAAAATAAAAACGAAGGAGACCCATGTAGCCTTCTCCGGTGAGAAGGCACCGGAGAAGGCGGATTTTTTTTTTTTTTTTTTTTAGGCCGTCCAGGCTGTCGTTTTCGTGGCCGGCACCAAGGATGTCTGGTTGGTTGGACATTCCTTAGGATCCGCAATCGCATTGCTGGTCGGGAGAAACATGGTATTGAAAATGGGTTACAATTTGGAAACCTATCTGTTCAATCCCCCGTTTGCATCGCTGCTGAGACATTTCATCAAGAGCGAGAAGCTCCGAGGAGGGCTTCATTTTGCCCACACCGTCGTCAAAGCCGGAGTGGCCGTCGGGATGAGTGCTGTCGTGAAGAACATGAAAATTGCAGAAGACGAAGAAGAGTTCAGTGTACAGTCCCCATGGATTCCATACTTGTTCATCAACCCGTTGGATACGATTTGCGCTGGATATCTGGAACATTTCCTGCAAAGTGAAAAGAAAGCGACGGGCGGGGCCGGAGGAATTGCGCGGTTTGCGGAGCGGAATTCAGTAAGGATTTTGAATTAATTAATTATTATTTAAACCTAATAAATGTAATTTAATTAAGGTGGTGCAAATAGCATTTTGACCACTCATTAGGATATTTGCACCACCTATGTATTTATTATAAGTTTTTAACTTTTTATATTTTCAATGTACTTTTTACCCCATTTTGGTCAAAGGGGGGTGCAAATAGCAACACCCATAGCAAAATAAATTTTTATTTGGCTATTTACACCACCTATGCAATTATTAAAAGTTTTCAACTTTTTACAATTTCAAGATATTTTATATCCACTTTTGGTCAAAGGGTGGTGCAAATAGCAACAATTTTGATACGTAGTTTGATGACCTATTTGACTTTTATTCATATTTTTAATGTAGTTTCTAAATATATAAATTTTACATACTAATTCTAAACTTAATATTATGACAAATTAAATAATAAATAAGTTCATCAAACATCGTTATTCGAATATGACACATAAAATGAGACGAAAAGAATATTATATAGTAGATAAGTTTCAATGTAGGATTAAGAGCTGACCGGGTTCTAGATCAAACCAAGAATCCATCCCAAAAAAAAAAAAAAAAAAAAAAAAACACATGAACTTCATTTGATTTAAACTAAACTTAGCTCGGACCAAAATCGACTTGTAAAAGACCGATTCCGGTCCCGGTCCTATAATGAAAAGGCCTGGTCCCAGGCCAAGGTCTAAGCTCGGGCAAAAGCAACATAATGTAGCCATGGCGGCAAAGCATGTCAAAGCTACCATGGCAAGTTAAATGCCATTTTGGACATGTTTTGCCAGTCTGCCAGTCTGCCACATTAGGCCTGCAACGTGTAACAAGTTGCATGTTTTGTTTCAATAGTTGCATTAGAGTACCTTTTTAGTGACGATAAAAGAGTATTAGATTATAAGAGATCAAGTTTGACTCTGAATTTTTTTAAAATTTATGTCATGAAAAAGGATTTGAACAATGTCAAAGAACGCACTCAAAATCAACATGCACTAAATGAAGAGGATGATCGATGTAGATGAATGGTTGGCCATGAATCGATACATCATCTAAAGTCACCCCTATTATCAGTTCTCATGCAATTTCCGCAAGTACTTCCGATCAAGAACGAGAATGAACTAATCTAATGACGTACGTATCAAGAACTACGTGGGCTTTGATTCTTCTAAATTATTGAGAATACATAGACATCTTAATTTTTACAATATTAAGAGTAAGCCCAATTATTTTTCTAAATTATTATAAAAATAAAGAACTACCTGGTTTTGGTTCCTCTAAATTATTGAGGATACATAGACATCTTAATGTTTTCAATATATATATATATATATATATATATATATATATATATATATATATATTGAAATATTAAAGAGTGTAAGTATTAGAAATTTAAATGATGTTATTGGACCATGGTGAATAATGTAATTAGACTCCTAAGCTCTTTTTTTTTTTTTTTTTTAAACAAAGTTCTAATTTAACCATGGATGTTTTTAATACAAACATACATACATACAATGGTTCAAATGAGAACTAGGTCCTCGTGTAAAAAGTGAGAACTGTTCACAATCATTCATCAAAAGTTATCAATAGTTGATGATTTTAGTAAAAAAAAAAAGTCTAGTCAATTTTATAATTTTTGTTGATCTACCCAAATGGTGGATCATATTAATCCTTACTTTTTATCTGGAGCATGTTCTCCCATAAACCTTCTTAGCTTCTTGTAAAAAGTGTGGATTTATGTAGGTCTTCCATTTATGTTGATTTTGTGGATCATGTTTTTTGGATTAATATTTAAATCTTATGGACTGTGGATTAATTTAATCTCTTTTAAAATTAAAAAAATAAATAAATTAACAACCAATAGATTAATTCTAAATTTAATGATTTACAGTTTTGGTCCAAGTTAATTATGATAAGATCACAATCATTCTTCCAAAATGCTGAACCCCAACCCTAAAGGCCATAAGATCACAATCATTGATTTGTCAATATGAAGAGTTAGGATATCCCGGCCCCCACTTTTTACTGGGTGATGTGTTCTTGCCTTAAAATCCTTCCCTCATATATGGATCCATTTAAGAGATTTGGCATTGAGTTATTATTATTATTTTTTTTTTTGAAAGGAAAAGATGAATTTCATTAAACATCAAATAGGAATGAGATACAGGCTGGTGGCACCGTAAACCACGAACATAAAGCAGACAAAGAATCAGAAGCCCGTGCTAAGATGTGAGCTATATGATTCGCTGACCTATTGACATGGCGAACACGAAAGTTTCTAATATCTGAAGCAAGCACACGACATTGAGTTATTATTATTATTATTATTATTATTATTATTATTATTATTATTATTATTATTATTATTATTGTTATTATTGTTATGATGATGATGATGACGATGACGATGACGATGACGATGACGATGACGATGATGATGACGATGATGATGATGATGATGATGATGATGATGATGATGATGATGATGATGATGATGATGCCATGTCAACTCTTAAAATACATAATTTAGCGTCAGGAGCCATATCACATGTTAAGTAGATATGGTAATCCTTTAAAAGTGTTAATTGCATTTTTTTTTTTCAAAATACGCATGATTCTTTACAAGCTAAGTACTATCTGTTTTATACTTTCTCAAATATTTTCAACACAAAAAATCTAAGCCTCCACCACCGAAGTTCAAACCTATGACCATCCATTTGGATGGGTAACCAGGATGCCATCACACTACATTATAGTTGTCGTTAATTGCATTTTTTAAGTTCAAAGATTTAATAAGAGTTCTTTTATTTTTTTTTATTTTTTATTTTTTAATTTTTAGTTTTAGGTTTCTAATTACATTCTTGTTATTAGTTAGAAGGCTTATTTGAAATTTTTTTCCTATTTTATTAATTTTTTCTTAAGATTGGCAATAATGCAATGATTGCCAATGAGAATACGGATATGGTTAAGGACCTAAGGTTTGCTTCAAAGGCAGGCACTTGGGATTTTGATTTGTCCAAGCAATTAAATATTCAAAACCCTTCATCTTAATCATACTTAGCTTGTCAAGTTTTGTCATTTGTGCCAACAATTTAAGACCTTACCTAACTTGAGTAACTTCTTTGTATTCTAAAGTTTCATTCTACCAAAATATCATAAAATTTCATTATTTTAATTAGGACTGTTAAAGTGGATCGAAACCCGTGGGTTAGCCCTCACTCACCCCGCGATGGGATAGGTTAGGACCACAAAAAAGATGGCCTAAGAAATAGCAAACTTAGCTCGTTAAAACCCGTAGCCCGCACGTGCTGCGAAAATAATTAAATATACATATATATGTTACACAGCAAGGCAGGACGCGGCAAATTATTGTATGGACCATGGTCCACATAATTGTGTGGACCATGAATATTATGTACATTTTTAATATATTAAAAGTACATGATTTTTGTATTGAAGGTACATTATATAAAATAATATACTCTTAGTATATTAAAATGTACTTTCATAAAATGTACCTTACGTACATAAATAATGTATCATTAGTAGATTAAAAATGTACTTTTTATTTGTGGTCCACACAATTGTATGTACCATGATCCATGCAATAATGATTGGCAGGACGCTGCCTTGCCAATTGGAGGGACGCTGCCTTGCCGTGTAACATTATATATATATATATATATATATATATAAAGTTAAATAAAATCCAATTATCTAAACGTAGACACGTTATACATATATAAGTATACATGAAACTTGTTCAAAATTATATTACATATATATATATATATATATATATATATATATATATATATATTACATTACTTATATGTTATAGTCAACTACTACGTAGACACGTTACCATTCTAAATGAGTGGGGGTGGTGCGGGCATTGATTATTTAAACTGAAAAAAAAATTAATATACAAAAAATTCAACAAATACCTTTAACATGGTTGGTTCTATTACATATAGATTAATTGAGAGGTTAGAAAATATTTAAATAAATATGGGGTGGGGTGGTGGGTTATAGGAGTTGGCCCGCGAGTTACACGGGCCAACCTGTATAATGCAGGTACCCCTACGGATTAAATGAGTTGGACCAGTGAAAGTTCCAGTCTAACCTAATTAAAAATTGAGCTAAATTGGTTTAACTCAACGAATTGGGCCCATTTTGATGACTCTATATGTATGTAGTAGTTTTGTGAGTCGTTATGCTGTGCATCCGTGTGCACCATGCATGGTGCACACGGATGCAAAAGCGATGTTTTGACGTCGACTTAAAAAAACAAAAAATTCAGAATTTCATAACTATACATTCATAATTTCATAACTATACATCCAGAATTGCATAATTATACATCCAGAATTGCATAACTATACATCTAGAATTGCATAACTATACATCTAGAATTGCATAACTCATAACTATAAATCCAGAATTGCATAACTTCATAACTATACATTCAGAATTGCATAACTACACATCCATAATTTCATAACTATAAATCCAGAATTGCATAACTATACATCCATAATTTTATAACTATACATTCATAAATTATGCACAACATAATGTTGTTGACGGGAATCGAAACAGATTTTTTTTTTCATATTAGACACACATTTTTAGTCAAAACGACATCTTTTTTGCATCCGTGTGCACACGGATACACAGCATAATTTGCCTAGTTTTGTAGGTTAATTGGGTGTTAATTAGGTGTCTCCAATCTCTTTGGTTCCAAATAAAACAACTTATTTTGGGCTTAATTTGTATGGCCCGGTCAATATTATGCA